AGACCACCTTCAAGAAGTGTCAACCTTCACGAAGTGCCAAACAGTCGGCGGTCAGAGGACTCCAGTGCCAAAAACATTCTTAGGGGACCTTGCGGTCGTGTTCAAAACATATTGGCGTAGCACTAGATGCTCACCAAGCAGTTCTGGATGTCGGTTATATCGACACATCATAAGATGCCTTACAAGCAAGCAGCGGCTGCTTGCAGGACCTTCTACCCGGTATGGATCTTTGAGAGCAGAGTTTCGCACTCCACCGTGAGATCCACGTCGGATAGGTGGACCTGCCATCCTACCGCTGTTAGCTGTAGTCATCTTGAGGGAGTCGATGAGGTGAGGACCCGGCAAAGAAAACTCTCAGTGGACTTTGCTGCCGTGTTTTTGGAACTTATTGGCGTAGCACTAGATGCTCACCAAGCAGTTCTGGATGTCGGTTATATCGACAAATCATAAGATGCCTAACAAGCAAGCAGCGGCTGCTTGCATGACCTTGTACCCGGTGTGGATCTTTGAGAGCAGAGTTTCGCACTCCACCGTGAGATCCACATCGGATAGGTGGACCTGCCATCCTACCGCTGTCAGCTGTAGTCATCTTGAGGGAGTCGACGAGGTGAGGACCCGACAAAGAACATTGTCAAGGGACTTTGCTGCCATGTTTGGAACATATTGGTGTAGCACTAGATGCTCACTAAGCAGTTCTGGATGTCGGTCATATCGACACGTCATAAGATGCCTTACAAGCAAACACCGATTGCTTGCAGGACGTTCAACCCGGTGTGGATCTTTGAGAGCAGAGTTTCGCACTCCACCGTGAGATCCACATCGGGTAGGCGGACCTGCCATCCTACCGCTGTTGGCTGTAGTCATCTTGAGAGTCGATGTGGTGAGGACCCGACAAAGAACACTCTTAGGGGACTTTGCTGCCGTGTTTGGAAGTTATTGGCGTAGCACTAGATGCTCACCAAGCAGTTCTGGATGTCGGTTATATCGACACATCATATGATGCCTTACAAGCAAACTGTGGTCGGATCCCATCCCCCATACCTGGCGCGGATCTATGAGAGCAGATTTGACGCAATCCACCGTTAGATCCACATCGGAGAGGCGGAGCGGTCATCCTACCGCTGTTCAGTGTAGTCATCATGTGGGAGTCGACATCGCAAGAACCCGATGATGTTCCAATTGGGACGTGCTCTTGTTTCGTGATGTGCAGGTGCTTATCGGCGGTGCGTTTGATCCCCTCCTTGACGTGAAGCAAAGTGCGAGGGAATTGCTCAGGGCTCACACCAGAAGTGCGATTGAACTCGCACTTTGATGGTGAAGCATTTGCGCAGTCTATCAGCGCGACGATTTAATATGGACATTGGCTTGTCATTTGTATATTCCAGGTTGAAAATGCCATCAAATCTTTCTGTGTAGAATATTCATATCCATTCATATAAGTATCTCTTGTCATCGCAAACAACGAGATAAAACATCTCAAGTCAAATTGCAAAGCACACAGAGACATCGCAAACATCAAGGTGAAAACATCTCAAGTTGCGCACTGTTTTTTCAAAGGTGAAGTCTTAGAGCAGATGATCAGTTTTCAGAACCCCATTCAATGCAGAAAATTCATTCAAGGGCAAATTGCAAAGCACAGAGACTTTCCAAATTGAACGCAAAATATCATACAATCCCACATTGCAAAATGCACGGAGGCTTTCCAAAAATCATAAAGTACATGGAGCCAAAGTGCGAATATGTTCTCATTTCCCATATGGAAGCAACAGTTCAATCACAATTGCACGACATCCAAAGTGCGAATATGTTCGCATTTCTCATACGGAAACAACAACCAGCATTCAGTGGAGAGCACGAGATGTATTCCGGGGATAACAAAATTGACAATCATTTAGTGCACCGTTGAATCCGTTAAACAACTTCAAGCACAAGTCAAATTGCAAAGCAAACAGAGACATCACAAACATCGAGGTGAAAACATCTCAAGTTGCCTAGTGTTTTTCCAAAGGTGAAGTCTCACAGCACACGAACAGGTACCAGAAACCATTTAATGCAGAAAATTCATTCGAGGGCAAATTGCAAAGCACATAGAGACGTTTCAAAAAGTCATTGGACGCAAAATATTATACAATCCCACATTGCAAAGTGCACGGAGGCTTTCCAAAAATCACAAAGTACATGGAGCCAAAGTGCGAATATGTTCTCATTTCTCATATGAAACCAACGGTTCAATCACAAATGTACGGCATCCGAAGTGCGAATATGTTCGCATTTCTCATACGGAAACGACAGCCTGCATTCCGTGGAGAGCACGAGATGTATTTCGGGGTGCACTGAATCCGTAAAACAACTTCAAACACACATACATTCTGGCGACAATTGGTTTCCGAATGGAAAACAAGTTCGCAACTGTCATAAGGAACCAACAGACAACATTCAATGGAGACAAGCAGAGGGGGTGAACCGTAAAATGGCGCGGCACACGCAGAACAAGGGCGAGCCAAGACATATGAAAGCTGGTTGGTCGGGGTGGGGCGGGGGAGAGGGGTTTTCACACCACAAAGTCTCGCGAACGAAGGAGATAAGCACGAAAGAATTTGGCGACCAAGAATAAATCGTCGATATCTTTCACATGAGTAAAAGAGGAGCACAACCTCGAAACGAACAAACGTAGCACGGTGCTGCTGCGGTCTGAGAGGACATAAGGAGAATAACCCGAAAATAAACAAAAGGAGCACAAAGTTGGGATATTCACACCCGATATGTAAGCGTCTACTTAAAAGGAACTGCACCACGTGGCTGGGATATTTACATCGGCATCAGAGCTTCTACTTCACGTAAGCATCCGCTGCTACCCTCTAGCTGATGTTGCGCGGCAAGCAATGAGAACAACCCGAAAACAAACAAAGGCAGCACGGCGCTGCCGAAAGTCCTACGAGTAAAGATGACAGATTCCACGAAATGAAGAACCCTTAAAAAATTGATACAGTACGAGGCAGGGATATTCACATCGACACCTAAGTGTGTACTTGACCAAAACGTCCACTGCAATCCAGTACCTCATCAAAACAACAACACAACTCGAACCGGTTGACTGCTAGATCAATTGGGAATAAATTCGCACTTTTGCTTATGGCCTTTCGAAGAAAAGAAGCGAAGATGAGCATGAAAACACCGCAGCTCGACCCGTCCGACTGTTGAGGGACACCATGAGCAACCACCTTGGGCGCCGGGAGATCCAATTTGGCTTGTTGACCATATCGACGAGCCGCTTCGTCACGGAGGTATTGCGTGAAGTTCGCAAGCACACCGGAAGAAAAACCACCATCGTCTTGCGCGAGGGAATCGTAGTACTCCAGCCCTTCTGCTCGGACACATAATAGGGTCCAATGCACTCGATTTTTATGGATAGGAATCAAGACCATGCCGTACAAGAAAATATCCACATCTTTTGTCCATTTCGCGACCCTTTCATGTCGATAGCCGCCACCGACGAGCTTGGTATAGAAAAAGGGACTGAAAATGTAAAGAGAGGGACCCCAGGGAACGCAGCGTTGGCAAGCAAGGCCAATTACGACTCCACCACCTCGTTGGAAAGTCATCCCCCCTGACAAGAGTTTGAAGATTATTTCTGGTCAACGAAATCGAACTGGGACCTCTGCGAACCGAGGAAACGACCTCCTGGCCGTTGCTGAAATCTCCGCAGGCGTCCTGCAACATTATGAAGTCCGCAGCGCTAAGCTCCTCAGTAGGCAAGGGAACGCGAAAACATGATGTAGCCCCAACTGCACAAACACCCACGAAAAAGTGTGAGGAGTGAGCACAAAACCCGGGGCGGAATAACTAAGAACTATATGCCCTTTTCCCAGAAAAGTTATATCCCCGACTGTTGAATGTGTCCTTCGCGATGTACTTAGGACACGGGTCTTTCAAAATACCCCGTTTGCCATCGTCATCAGACCCATCAAACAAAGCAGGAAAACTCTCAATAGATGCAGCCAAATGTTTCCGCAGACCTTCCTCCTTATCTATTCCACAAGCCTTCAGAACCTTGACAACTCAAAGGCGAGGCATCTGGACCCTTTTAAACAACCCTACACTTGACGACTTCTTCAGTAAAGCGGCCAATGACCTCCCTGAAAGACGTTTCTCGCGCACGGCTTTTAAAGGCTTCATGGGCAGAAACATTAACAACCTCACACCAGTAGAACATAAAAAACAACCCACAGCCCACAAGCTTTTTTTTAACCAGTGGTAATAGGTACATTAGCCCATGACATCAATTTGGACGAACACGGAGCTGGCTATTGACAGATATGCGAGTGGTCCTATTCACAAATCTTTCCGTGCCCGGGAACCCTTTGAGGGAACTCGCCCTCTTGTCGCGCCATTGCGCCAACGTCCACGGACGATTCGAGGTTCTGGACATCGGCCACGGCTGTGTCGCTAACCAGCTCGGTGGCAGATGAGTCGCTTGGCAAGTCGATGGCTTCATGAAGCACCATTTCCCGACCGGTACTGAGGACAGATGCTTGATCACCCTGTTCGGCACCGCAACGGGTGGACGGAGAATCATGATCTTTCCGCTCTGGATCCATCTTGATGCTGACGGTCACCTCACCGCCTTCCACGGAGGATTCGACGTTCTGCAACTCGGCCACGATTGAGTCGCTAAGCAGCTCGGTGGCTGTCGAGTCGTCACCCAACTCTGTGGCTTCATGAAGCACCATTCCCCGAGCGGTGCTCAGGACAGACGGTCGACCACCCTGGTCTTCACCGCAACGGGTGGGCGAAGAATCACCATCTTTCCGCTGTGGATCCGTCCGGATGTCGACAGTCACCTCCTTGCCTTCCACCACGGTTTCTCCGCCTTTCTCATCGCCATGAACCCGAGCTTCCACCGCGGGTTCTTCTTCGTCTTCATCGTCGCCAAGAACGAGAGCTTGCACGGACGTCCACCGACCTCCCATAACGACACCCTCTCGCGTCGTGGCCACAGCTGAACGATTGTGCAGAACCTCTTCGGACATCCCGATCACCAGCGCTCGTGCGTGGAGCCACTTCACGTCTTCACGAGCCGGCCCGTGTCAAGTCTCCTCTCCCCGCTGTAGAGCATGTGTTTCCCCCGGAGCTCCTGCACTCTCGCTGTCAGTGTCCACGGACGCACCCTCCGAAGCATGACGTTCACACTCGCTACCCCCGGTCTTCAACACTTTGCGAGACTGCCAGCGTTGAGTCTCCTCTTCCCGATGTACAACACGCGTTCCCGGAGAGCGCTCGTCTTCCCCAGGAGTGTGACGTTTGTGCTCGCTACCCCCGGTCTCCAACACTCCTGGAGAGGGCCCATCCAGCACGTCGCGAGACCGCCAGTCTCGAGTCTCAACACATGAGAAAGGAGGCAAGCAGGGTAACCCTATGTCCAACTGAAGATGGGGGGGGTAGGACGTCACATTTTCTTGGCCCAGCGGAACTGTTGCATGAGGAGCACTTATGGCGGAGGGCGACGTCAGCAAATCCGAATGTATTCGGAGTTTGTGGCGGTCGCCCGAGCCGAGGGAACCGCAGATCGCACCTTCGCTCCTTCGCAATGCAGGCATCCCGCCCTCCAGGCAAAACGAAGACGCGCCCTCTTTCAGCAGCAAGGTATTGAGCACATGAGACCTCTGCTGTGCACGGCGGGATGGACTCTCCTGGGCAACGAGAAACAAAGTCCTCGCAGACAAGTGCGAATCTTCTTGCACTTGATCAGACGTCAGGATGGCCTTATTTCGCATGTCGGAATCTCGACTCCCTACACAGTGGGGGTCAGTTTCCATATACTGGGGACTTCCGGACGTTCTACGCTTTCCGCCCGACCCCTTCCCGCCCGACCCCCTCCTGCCCGACTCCTTTCCGCCCGACCCCTTTCCGCCGGACGCCTTCTCTACCGACGATGTCTCGCCCGTCCCCTTTCCGACAAACTGTGAGCCGTCTCCTCCGCCACCTCCGCCGTCTCCTTCGTCTCCTCCACCACCCCCTCCCGGACGCTGACTCGCCGGCGGAGGTTGCGGCATGCATCAGTCAATGCCACGAGACGGTGCCGTTTCGAGTGCGTAGAAAGGCGCTCGAAACTCCAACATGTTGTTGGCGTACAACTCATGTAGCTTTTGTTCTGCATACGCATTGACATCCGGATCGTTCCTCTCGGGGTTCATGAGACTCAAATGCTCCACCAGAGCAGTTCTTGCCTTTCTCTTAAATGCACCCGCTCCCAGTCTCTTCAGTTCACTCCACTTGCCATCGACCTCCTTTATTGCCATGACCCATATTCCATTCCTCACGGCAGGTTGGAATATCCTCGGGTGCCAGACGACGTTGTGTCCCCAGATATCCTCCAACGTGAACCGGTGATGCTTGCCGAAGAAGTAGAGTCTGTCATTCTTTTAGGTTTCATGGTCCACAGGAAGTCTGTCACAAGGTTCGTGATCATAGTCACTCTCTTCCTCCCCGTCATCAGACGATTGGCCATCGACTGCTTCGCCTCGAAACACACGCTTCAAACCGGCAGGGGACGTGCTATATCTCCGAGGGCCACCTTCCTCTTCATCACCAACCTGTCCAACCACCCGAGGAAGTGGCATGGACTCGAAATCGAAGGTTTCGGAGTCGCTCAGCTCCTCCATGTCTTCAGCGTCGAAAGGGTCCTACTCGTCAAACTGTGGCTTGTAGTTTTCGAGAGTGAGCGGTTCGGCCAGCGTGAAGTAAACGTGCTCCAACCTTTTTAGGAAATGCGAGACAGACTCCGTGGGTGCACCGTGGTACCCATTGAGCACAACGAACACCAGGTTTCTCCGTCGACTGTATTCGAGGTCGATCGGACCAGGCGGTCCGAGCCCGAAAAGGAAGTCCCAAACGTCCGTCCTTTTGTTCCCCGGCAATTTCCAATTTAGGATCCCAGTTTCGTTCGCCGGTGGTGCGGACAAACTCGCAAGCATTGCGAGTGTCTGCAACCTGTGTCTTCACGAACTCGTGAAGGTAGTCGATCATCCTCGCCTCTTTCTCCAACGCGACGACGTTCCGACCGGTGCGGAGGAGTCCCCTCACGGCAGACGCATGCGCCTTCCCAAAGAAAAAAACAGTTTGCCCTGCTTTGCAAAAGTTGTCGAGTAGACCAAGTAGACGGGACGGGTTCCGCTCCATCTCCCCGTAAGCAGGTTCTTGAGAACTTGTCACGCCGCCGTCCTCCCACATGCTACGAGAGAACCTTTGCTCTTCCGCCACATCGAAACACTCCACAGCCTGTCCTGATGGGCCCGACGAACACACAGGTTTCGAGCGGCCCGCCACCGTGTGTTTGGTCGGACTTGGACCTTGAACACGGGAAGCCTTTGTCGGGCTACTGGCCGGGTAGACTGCGAATGTGTTATCTTCGAGCTTCTCGCCATTAAATATCATGTACAGGCGGTCACACTCCTCAACTCAACCAGCATATTGCCTTCCCGGACAGTGGCCTGCTTTTGTGCATTACGTACCCACTTCCCTGTCCTGACGTGATGGACGCTAAGCCAGGCCATGCCTTTCAAGAAACTGAGCTCCCAACGAGAGGGGAAAAAAATCACAAGTGCCTAGTGCGTTGGCGAAAGTGTTTGTAGAAGGCCTTGCAAGTTGGCGAAATCGTCTTCTCGCCAATCTGTGAGGAGTGTGGGATCACACAAATCGAGGACGTACAGGTTGCACACGTAATGTCGCACAACCTTACGGATCGCAGTGACATGACTGTGAGCTTGGGAAGGCGGGAAAGCGAAAGGAATAAGGCTGGTCACCCGGTTGAGGTCGGGCCATTTGATGTGCCTCACATCCCCGCTGACCCTGATCGTGTCTCGAACTTCTTCTTTCGTCCGTCGCAAGATGGAACGGACAGACTTTTCGAAAGATTTAGGGGACCTGTCATCATCGTACAATCTTTTCGCGTCGTCGATGGACTCCTTCTCGTGCGGAAGAGTACGTTTGCAAGCGTTCACGTACTCCACCGCGCCCTGGAAATGCTTTCGCATTTCGACCCACACCTGTTTCGTGAGGCCCTGCGGCCCGAACTCCTCCAGAAGCTTCCCCTCGGTCCGAAAAAAAGGGCTTCCGTGGTGCCAAACACGTTCGTCCTCCTCCGTTTTAAGGAACAAGATGTAGAGGAACATACGGAGCATCACACGGTCCACTTTCGTCGTCGCAACCATTTCTTTAATTCCAGGTTTATGCTGACGCTTCAGATAGCCGCCCACGGATTGCATGAACACTCCCCTCAGTGAGAGAATGTCGTCGAGGATCGACAGTTTCTTGACATCGATCATGTCGGCGAGAGACTGCCAACAAAACATGTCTGGCTCCTTCACGACCACGAAAAACTTGTCGTCTGCTTGCGTTTTCTTTCTGGTCGGAGGCGGCGGGACCCGGACCAGCCACCCCATCTTCGTTTCACCAGCCACCCCTTTCGTGCCAATTTCAGGAATTGCTTGCAGACCTGGAGATTTGCTTGGCATGTATTTACCCAGCCTCGACAATGGCGTTTTGTCGTCGCCGCCCAATAACTTCCCCTCCGCCCATTTCGCGTAGAACTCCATGGCTTTGCAAAAAACGTCATCACCGGCCGTCACGACCGGCATCCACTGCCTCAATGCATTGCCAACGGCAGCGACATAGTCCTTGTCGGCGAGCGACAAATCTTTTTTTGCCAACGTCCAGTGAGCTTCGTTCGGACTCTTTCCGAAAAACAGCTTCTGGAATTCGAAAAACTTTTGTTTTTCGGCCTCCTTGCTGGAAGGGTTCCCTTGAATGGCCATCGACCTTCCTTCTTTCTCCCATGCCTCCCGCATGTCCAAGAACGCGGCCTTCTGCGATCGCTGCTTAGACATCTTGTGTCTCGTTTTCTCGTTGAGACTGACCTGCCTATACCCCGTGAAATCTCGGTCGGAGAACCACACTACTCTCGCCGGTCAGGAGTGCATCTTCCACGAATCGAATATTGGCTCACCCTCCAACTCCTTCACAGCAGCCACGGTGTGTTGTCCGTTAACAGGGTAATAGTAGTACTTGTCCTTGTCCTCTCGCTTGAAGTCATCTTTGTGAACCCTGTTAGCTATCTCCGGCCTACGCGCCACCGGCTTGTAGATGGGTGCCAGAACCAAAGGGTTTTTCGTCCAGATCTTCCCCCTTTTCTCGCGGTATTAACTCAGCATCGCAGCCTTGATGTCATCCACAGTTTTCCGATTTAGACTGCGGTGGTTGTAATATCTTTCCCAAGACATGATGTCGCAGACCTTCCTGGGGTCAATGAGCAGTTGGACGGGGAGCTCCTTCTCCACGATCTCACCGCCATCGTTCCGCTCGTATTCGAGCCAGAACGCTACCGCTTTGTCGCACTCCTTACCGACAGGCCGTTCGCCCCCGCTCGCCGCCTTAGCAGTCTTCCGCCTTCGAGGTTTCTTCTGGCCATCGCCTTCTTCAGCTGCCACTTTCCGTTTCGATTTCCCCGAAGGTTCTCTCGCGGCCGCAGCGCCTGGATCAGCCGAATCTCTTCCACCCACGGCTTGTCCTTCGCGGATGGTCAAACCATCGGGCCTCCTCACTTTCTTACGTGCCATCCCACCCTCTTCCTTCGGCGGCCTTTTTCCCGAGGCACGTTCTCCATCGTCACCTCCATCCCCGCCCATCATCGCCTCCGTTTTTCCTCTCATCCTCTTCATGCGGAGGGTTCCTTCCGCCACCTTCACTCGTACCATCCTTTGTCGGTTGCTCTTCTTCTCCGAAGGAGTCTGCTACCCGCCAGAGCTTTCGCGGACGGCGCCCATCCCTTCAGCCTCATTCCCTCCGACATCTAGCCCCGATCTGCTTGAATCTCTTCTCGTCTCATCTCGAAGCGAATACGTGTCGCCGCCGCAACGGACCTTGATAACTTTCGGAGTACCGACCCGTTGAGTCCCTGTACCCTGAGAATGCAAGTCCGACGTGTTCCTAGGAGCATCCGGGCCGACCTGCGTGTGAACGCTGCGTCCCTTGACCCAACCCCCAGCGTCTTGAATCGGACTCCCGCGCCCCACTGCCGTACCTGGATTTTCTTGAGCCAAGCCGGACGACCCCTCACGGGGTGGCAGAAGTAGGAAAACATGTTCTGGCGGAAGAACTGGACGTTCTTTGGGCACCATCAGCGCGAGATCGAGATATTGCTCTGGCGATGGAAGACGTTTGCTGCCGCCATCGTAAAGGCCTTTGAAGTGAGAGCACAACGGCATGTTCGAGCCGTACCCCACGAAACTCTTGATGGTCACCAGCACACCTTTAACACCTCTGATAGGCGGTCTGCACTCGTCGTACAAGCCGTTAGTGTGCAGCTTGAGCAAACCTCAAGGAGTCTTCGCGCATGAGACGACGGTACCGAGAGGAACAACATTGACCGCTCCCCCAGCGTCTGTAACGCAAGTGGGTCGCATGAAAATAGCTGGCCCAAAAAGGTCCCCCTGAACAACGAAGTCCAAAAACCATTGTGCTCCCTTTGCGTGCATATACTGAGGAGTAGGTTGATGTACAGGTCGTCCCTCCCCAGGGGCAGATGGTCCAGCGCCTGTGGATGTGTTCTTTGCGGACGCCATTGTACTCCCACCCGTTGACTAGCACGCCCAACCTCAGACCAACTCGAATAACTAATACGCCCAACCCCAGACCACTACAGAAGCGAAGTGCGAACTAACTCGGACTTAACGAAATGGAGGACGAAAAGGACGTAAGAGATGGGTGTTCGAAATGCACACGAAGTCACAACAATCGGGTGAAGGATAGGAAAGACAAAAGTTCGGAGGGAAGATGACAACTCTTCGGAAAGATTGCGACCCAACTAGATGCCCTCGAAACGAGTAAGATGTGGTTTATGGACAAGTGCGAAGGGTGTCGACAAGTGCAAACTAACTCGCAGTTTTGTAGACAAGACAACAATGGCAACCCGCTGCACTAGGGGAAAGTGCTAACTAACTCGGAATTGTGGAACTGAAGACCTGAAAGACACACGGAACGAGTAAGATGTGGTTTATCGACAAGTGCGAATCGACAAGTGCGAACTAACTTACAGTTCTGCTGACAGGACGGCAATTGCAACCCGAAGTACAACGGGAAAGTACGAACTGACTCCGAATTGTGGAACTGAAGTCCAAGTTTATCGACAATTGCGAAGGGTTTCGACAAGTGCGAACTAACTCGCAGTTCTGTAGACAAGACAATAACGGCGATGCGCAGCACTAGGGGAAAGTACGAACTAACTCGGAATTGTGGAACTGAAGACCTGAAAGTCGCACTGGTTGGGTTGTCAACTCTCCAGCAGTGTTGCTAAAAAAGTGCGAACTAACTCGCAATTGTGGAAATAAAGAACTGCCTTTAATGAAATATGTGTCTAACCTTGGAAAAACTGCGAATAACCTCGCAGTTGTCACTCCTCGAACATTGTACGTCACAAACTGCGAACTGACTCGCAATATATCTCTCTCTATATATACGTATCTATACATATATATATATATATATATATCAGACCACCTCGGATGACTAATACGCCCAACCCCAGACCACTACAGAAGCGAAGTGCAAACTAACTTTGACTTAACGAAATGGAGAACGAAAAGGACGTAAGACATGGGTGTTCGAAATGCACACGAAGTCACAACAATCGGGTGAAGGATAGGAAAGAATATATATATGTATATATATATATATATATATATATATATATCAGGTCGGCGACCTCACAAGGGACAGGTGAGCGAAAATCGAGAATTGATTCGGTGTTCAGTGTAGCAATATATCTCTATATATACATATAT